AGTAGAATATTAGACGAAAATTGATATCTAAAATTATAAATGGTTATTTTTTAGAATATTTATAATTTTTTTTTAAATATTGCATATATATATATATATATATATATATATTTAATTTGTTTTTAAGTTTTTATTTTTATTTTTAATTTTCTCTCCCACACACTATCCAGTTAGAGCAATTCTTGTCCATTAACTGCAGAAGCAGAAGAGGATAAAGACACCTCTCGAGATGCGTTTTTAATTTCAGAATTATTATTATTATTATTATTATTATTATTATTATTATTATTAATTTTGAATTTCACTTCTTATTTTCACAAAAAAATAAAAAATAAAAATTTGCACTTATCCATACATACATTTATATATATATTCCCAAAAAAAAATTAAAATTTAAAAATTACTCATTTTTAAAATATTAATTTTTGTTTTTAGTGAGGAGGCAATAATGGTTTTTGACCCTTATATTGGGGCGGTCTTACATTTTCAACCTTTATTTTATTTTATTTTTATTTAAATTAAAATTAATATTTTATCTTTTAAACACCCTAAATTTAAAAAAATATAAATATAAAAATATCAATTTTGTTTTTGAAGGTAAAAGTTAAAAATTTAATAAATTGGGTCAAAGTAACCTAATGCATGAATTTACAGTGAATTAAATTAAAAGCGTAGATATACTTTAACGTTGTTGCTGTTAAATTAATAATTTGGTTCATAAAATTTTAAAATATTTTATCTTGAGAATTTATGAATTTTAAAAAATAATAATAAATTTGTTTAAATATTTTAATAAAAATGAAAAGGGCAAAATCGGAAGAGAAATAAAAGTGCATCGAAAAAGGTTTCCTAGTTTTCATCGCTGACTCATGCATCTGTCTAAATTAACATCATCTTTAATGACCTTTACTGCCCTTTTAAACGTTCATGTTATTTTCCCTTTTTTTATTTTTTTTTTAATAATTAAGAAAGTAGTAGAAATTAATACCCATATTTATATTTTTCTTTTATTTTTATTATTTTTTTAATATGAAAAGTGAGACCTCGTATCAAAACTTCCAAACACGTAATTAAATAATATAAAATATATTTAAAAAACGACTGAAAATTACGACATGTACGTTGTAATGAAAGTTGACATTCAAAAAACCCGATAATCCAATCAACCAACCCAGTTCGTTTGATTTTGTTGAAATAAATTAAAATTTTATGAATTTAGTTGGTGCACGAGTTCCTCTAAAACTAAATTATCGTGTTCATTATTAAAATTTTAATATATATATATATATATAATAATTTTAATATATATATATTTTTTTTCCAACGGACTCTTATAAATAATTTAAAACTATCTGAAAATTAATTATTTCAAATATATTTTACTCCGGAAGGAATTAACATTTTGTTTTTATACCATTCGAATTAATCTATCTTAATTGAGTTTGATTGAGTTCATTATTTCATATTATTCTCGTTAAAATAAATTAAAAAAATATTTTTTATTATAAAAAAATTAATTAAATTTAATAAAATTAAAAAAAAAACACAAAAAAAAGTATTGGTTAGGTCTCTCTAATAAAATAATAATAATTAATAAAAAAATTCCAACGCCCAATTGATTGGCATGATCCTACGAGAATATGATTCTCTAATTTATTCAAATAATCTCATTCTCCACGTCTCTATTTGCCTCTCTCATTCATATTGTATGGTTCCATGAGAAAAATAAATTAAATTATATTAATATTAATTCGAATAAAATAAAGACGTTTATGTCGGTCCCCTTACTATATCGTGTTTTATCGTCTTTCTACTTCGTATGATAATTTTTATACCATTTAATTTTTTTTAGTTATTATATTTTAAAAAATTCATAAATTTGCATTAATTATTTTAAAAAAATAATTTATTATATTTAGAATTGAAATAAATATTTTATTATATTTTAATATTTATTTATTTAAATAAATACAATAATTATTCCATAATTTAAAATTATTCTTTATACAGGAATCTTTGAATGACCAAAAGAAATTAGTCCAATTAGGGTATCTTTGAATTAATTTTATTGATTTGACTAAAACCAATAAAAATAATATTTTTTTATTTAAAAAAATACCCATTTAATTTGGTAATTATTGGACCTAATTTCTTTTATTTATTTATTTATTTTTGGTCTAAAGCGGATTAATTATTGAAAATTATTAATTATATTTTATAACGTTTCAAACACGTGGCACATTTTAAAACAAGATACCAAACTTAGTTTAATTTACATTTAATATGCTATTAGGTCAAATTGATTCTAGTTGTTAATTGTGACACGTGTCCCAAACCTACCAAACCTAAGACTATTTTATAAAGTGTGTTTTAAAAGTACATGAAAGAGTGGACGTAATCCATTTCCCTATAAATTCATAGCATTTGAATACGTCGAGGTCGGGTTGTGATTCAGGGTATATTGGGAATAATCGAGGAAGAAATGATTCTCTGATTGAAGCTGGTGGGACTGAAGGGCAGATACTGAAACGAGTACGAGCTGATCTCTTCTTAGTCTGGGATGTTCTCGGGCGTGGCGGTCTCCATGAAGAATGGCGTTTTTGATGTCGAGCTGATGAAGTTTCTGGGATTTGTTGGCCGATGAAAGGTAGCTGTAGAGGTGTGGATGTGAAACTACGATTCCCTCTTTTCAACTAACCATTCCGAGAATGGAAGAGTCATGCCTTTCAAACAGTGGTAAAGTAATGTAAGACGAGATTAAGAGCTCTTCCTCGTTTAGTTAGATATGGTTTGACCTGTTATCGTTACAAATCATTCAGCGCTCTATTATATTAACTAAGAGTTTAGATGATTTGATGACCTAATCAAGTCGTACAAGTATAATGTTAATTAAAAATTTAGAAATATAAAAATAATTGATTTATTATAAAATTTTGGAAAAAAAAAACTTTATGAAAATAAATTAAATTAATTGTTACAAAAAGGATGCACAAATTCTTGACGTAATTTACTTTATGAGACATCTATTTCAACGTGGAAGTTAAAGACCAGACATTTTGATTCTTTTTCAATATGACTAAAATATATTAACGACAAATTAAATTGTCAAACTTTTGGATTATTGTTGAAAAAGAAAAAAAAAAAAAAAAAAAAAGTCAAATTTCATCACGTTTTTAAAAAATGATTATGTCATTAATTTTAAATTCAATAAAATTAGTGTAAAATATACAAATTATCAAAATTTTGGAGTATAAATTATTGAGTGGTCGTATCAATATATAGAGGTGTTCATATGACTCGAGAACCTGACCAATCTAGACCACCCAACCCAAATTATAAAGGTTAGGTTGGGTTTGGTCGGTTTTTTTTTTTTTTCTTTTTGGCTTGAGATGTTGGGTTGAATGTTCGGAAAACAAAAAATTTGGGTCGAGTTGCAGATTAATAATTTTTTGGTCAGGTCAACTCGATTAACTTGAGAATAGAGTTACAACCCAACCCGAGGCAACCCTACCCTACTTTTAAGAGTATTACTAAGATGATATTTGACTTCTGTAACTAATATTAGTGATATGATGTGACTTCCAAATGTTTGATATTTGAGTTTTATGAGATTTTAATTATCAATCTAACAATGGATAGTAGATAAATATGATTTTTTTAAATAATTAAAAAAAAACGAATAACTCAACCCAAACACAACACGAAAATAAAGGATTGAGTTTATACTGGTAGTTCGGATCACTAACCCACTCAACCCGAAATTTCGGATTGGTCCAAAAGATTTCTCCAACCCAACCCAACCCAACCCGTGTATGCCCCTACAAACATATTTTGGTTAAATTACATGTCGAGTCCCAGAACTTTAAGATTTATGCTTATTCAATCTCTAAACTTTCAATTTTACGTCTAATAGACACCGATCTCGAAATTCACTGATCTTTTGAATTCTTTGTGTTTTTCCAGCTCAACAATTGTGGAAATAGAAAATCGAACCGTCGATTTTTTGAGACATTCATTGATGTCTTATCCACTTAACGATCAACGACGCTAATTATTAAGCGGAAGAAATAGAATATTTGGTGTGGATGTAGTCAAACATGATGTACTAGAAATGGCATGCCTTTGAGCACTAAGAACCAAAAGAAAATAAAATCTCCATCTAACCATAATTATATCATTTATCTTTAAATTGAAATTGGAAGGAAAAAAAAAAAGTATCCAATTATATGTAGTCATGAAATTCTCTCATATTTAGCATAAGTATAAATAAATTAGCACAATTTGGTAAGTGCTTTTTTGACTTCAAGATGGTGCTTTTCATTATTCTTTTTTAGAAAATAAATATTTTTAATCAATAATTGATTTTAGAATAATTATAAATGCGAGAAAAATTAGACCTACCCGGCAAATGTTGTAGGTGAAAAAACGACATCCTCAACGAGACCACGTGGCAGTTATGGTGAGCTAAAATGTATTTAGATCGATATATATATACACCTTATAATAATACATCAAATATGATATGTATGGTAAACTATAATTTAGTACTAAATATTTTTAACACTCCACCGCAAGCTGAGCGTCGGATTTGAACGAACGTGAAGATTGGATTTGAAAAATTCAAAGAGAGGCTGAGAAACATTTTTCGTGAAGATGTCAACAACCTGGTTTGGAGAAAGCATAGAGAAACACTTTCTTGTCCATCAAAAACTGTAGAGGGATCGTCGCTCAGTGGCGATGCTGCCTTGGCTTCGGCGAGAATATGTCTTAACCCATGAAGAGGGATCGTCGCTGGCGACGATACAGCATTGGCTCTGGTGAGAATATGTCTAACCCTAAGAAGTAGAATATATATATATATATGAGCGACGATACTGCCTTAGTTCTGGTGAGAATATGTCTAACACTAAGAAATAGTATATATATATATATATTATATATATATATATATATATATATATATATATATATATATATATATATATATATATATATATATATATATCAGAAGTGAGAAGGGCTGGAATAATAAAATAAACACCATTTTAGTTTGTTCTATAGTACTAGTTCTTCCTGGCTTATTGAGAAGCTTCAAGAGGAGCATCCATCAATATTTACCATGATTCTCAATCTTCTTCTGCAGGTCATCCTTCCTGGCGCCGACCACCTTATCAACTACCTTCCCCTTCTTAATCAGTATGAATGTTGGCATTGCGTCCACTCCATATTCCTTTGCAACATCCTGTTGTCATCCATTTTTTCAACACAGTCAGTCACGTTCAAACTCATCCACTGAATCAAAACAAGATTGAAAGCTCATACCATCAACTCATCGACGTCGATTTTGACGAACTCAACATCCTTGAACCTCGAAGCAAACTCCTTGATGGTCGGCTCCATTTGTCGACAAGGTCCACACCATGCAGCAGTGAAGTCAATCACCATCTACACCAAACCAGCAGCACAAGAAGAAATCACAAACCGAAAGCGTATGCATCCCTATATGTTGGGATAAAGAGTTGGTATGAAACTTACAAGCTTGTTTGTTTCCCTTGTGGCTTCCAAACGAGCTGTCCACTCTGCTTTGTTGTGGCACTCCACAATGGTGGGAGTCATTGCTTGTAATGTTGCATTGGAAGATTTTGAACGTGGGATTGTAAAGCTTGCTCCCATTTCTTTGAAATTGAAGCTTCAAGCTTTGAACTCAGATCTTTGTTTGAACCTCTTCTAAGATGGAAATCTTGTTTGAATGCACAGCTTTCAAGACATGGCTGATGATCAGCTTTATATAAAGAGAAGAAAAAATATGATTCCGTCACCTCCAATCTATGTGAATGCTTTCAAAATTTTATGTAAATAAATAATATTTTTATTTGATTCTGATCGGACTTCAAATAATTAATGGTTGGTATTCATTTTGCTTTTATTCAATTAAGTTTTTATTTATTTTTTTAAATTTTAGGATTTTTTATTTATTTAGCCAACAATCTTAATCATTATTTTTATGTAAATAAATTTAATATAATTAATTATACATATACTTTTCAAAAAATTAAATATAATGAATTTATCTCACTCATCCCAACATAATCACACAAGTTTTAATTTATTATAATTTATTCTCTTAATCATTAATTTATTAGCCATTGGAAATCTCCAAAATTGATGGATAAAAAGGAAAAGAAAGAAAGAAAAAAAAGGAAGATAAAATTCCCGAAAAGGAAAGGAAAAATTAAATTGCCAAAATTACAAACACGAACTTAAAATAAATGGAGGATTTTTTTTTTTTTTTT